GCATTGCTTGGTGGAAATAATGGAAATACACTCTGGAGATCATACTGCAGCACAAACCTGGAAAAGCACAACTGGAACACAGCTTGGATCCAGGTCACAGAGGGCAGGAGAGTGTGTGGTGTATGGGACCACAACGTGGGTGCCAACACTTTGGACAGTGGGATGTTCAGTAGTTGGCATCAACTGAAAACAGCCTGTGTGAGATGGTTAATAGGAAGTTATCTCTCCTTGCTCAGGAAACACAGGCAAGCTAAACCTGACAAATAACCAGATTCAGACCTCCTCATAAGGTAAATTGTCAATTTTAATTAACCAAAAAATGTGTAATCCTTTCATTTGTCATGCTGTGAACTGCCTTACTCCAGCCAGCTCTGATGCTTACATTTGCAATTCCCTTACTCTGTTTGGTTCTATGGTATCAGTAGGGTGGTCTTGCATAAAAGCAGGAGCTTCCCCTTCCTCCAGTACCTAGCAAATTAAAAGTGGGGGGGGGAAAAAAGAGCTTCAGGGCAGGAGCTACCTGTGAATTTGTGCTTAATCCAGTATTACTGCGCTCATGTTACTATCACTTTATTCTTGACTGCAGCCTGCAGTGACGTGCAGCTGGAAGGAGTCTGTTGTCCACAGCCTCTAGCTCAGCATCAAAATGAAGGAGTCCTGGGTGTTCACATAAGCACAAGGAGCAGCAGTTCACCTGGTATTTAAAAATCAGTTCAGAGCAAGTACTTTAATCTCTTTTGCAGGTAACCATCCCTCTTCCATAAAGCCCCATTTCTTCCTGAAGTAATTTCACAGACATCAGATCCCAAGCACTCTTGAATAATTGATGGCCTAGGTTGTAACAAATCTTTTTCATGAATATCTATAACCTCCTGCCAATAAATAATTAACTGTTCATTAACAATACTAGGGATACAAAAATGTTAAAACAAAAGCTTTTCATTTTTTTAGTTTTTAATTGATTCTCCCTACATATTTCCTATCACGGGAATGATAAAATTTGATCATAGTACCAAGTGTTACAATATTAAAAAATTCCAACCAGTAACATGACCAATAAAATTTATTAAACATTATATTTACAACTATTTACATATCCTTCCATAGATTAATATTAAAATAGACAATATACAATTTAGAATTTTCATTCAAAGGCATTTTGTTGGAAAAAATAGGCTCTATTACGAGACCACCATATAAGAGAAAAAAAGTTGTTGCTTTTTTTTTTTTCTTTGTTTGCTTTGTCTTCGTTTTACACAAAAATATTTTCAGCATAGTAAGTCATAGGTATGGCGTTACAACAGCAGACTAACATGAAATATGGTTTTGTAAATGCTACAGTTGTTCAGGTTTCGGTTATTGAAGTCAAGGAGCTCGGGGTTCTGTGAAGCATGCAATATGGGTCAGTTTCAACTCTTTTACAGTTATGGTGATGAAACAAGCAGCTAAATCAAACACATGCCATAGTAAAAGAACTGCCAACCAGGAACACACTACACTTAATAGAAACGACAACTTTGGTCCAATAAAACATTAGACAAAAACAGTTTTACAGTTAAAATATCTATTTTGTACAGGTTTGAACATTAATTACAAGACTATTTACATTTGCACAATATGTATAAAATAAATTATTTAAAAATGAAGACAATATTACATCTTTTTCCAAAAAGAAAAAAACTATACAGTAATTTACAAAATACAATAAGATTAATAGACTATTTTCCTCCAAGTCTGATTTTTCTTCTACAGACTTTTCATCTTATTTCCCCCCCCCCGTAGCAGTCCCACTGTTACCCAAGTTTCATGATACAAAGCTTCCTAGCAGATTTTAGGTATCATTTTGTTTTGGTGGCTGTTTGTGTTACAGCTGCCAGCGCTGTTAACTCACCATGTTTCATCATCCTTGTCAGCAGTAAGCCCTGAAGCCATAGGCAATTTTGTAATACAGGTAATGCTATTTTCTAGGAAACTGACTTCAGAATAAGCGTCCATCTCTGTGTTGTGACCAAGACCCCGTGCCACATTTCTCTGAATAGTTATTGGGAAAGGCAGTATTCTACATTAAGTGTTCATTAATAAAGTGTTCTGTCTTAAAAGAAAAATACCTTTGTGAATCGCTGCACCTCAGTCTCTGGCAGTCCAAAGGCAAAAGCCAGTAGGTACTGGTTGTCATATTGGTGTCAATTCAAAGTCGTCATTAACATCAACAAGAGGAACGTAGAATTCCTGAATTTCATAAATGCTGATGGATTTGTACGTAGCAGGATCGAGTTCTTGTAGTTTAAGCTGCCACTCCAGTCTTTGTACTGCATTTAAAGCTGCTGCTTCATGCTGCTGCCTCATCAAAAGGCACGTCTGTTTTGGAATGCAGAAGGAAGTTATTTCAATATCAGAAAATGCTGCAGCACGAGCTTCAAAACAGAAAAGACATCTACGAGCCTCTTTGGTGGCAGCACCTGCCCTAAGTCTCTATTTAAATAATCAGATGATTCCATCACAAAGCTCGTTTTTTTGTTTTGTTTTTGTTTTTAATATTAGCAGACCTTCTTTCATGTTGCCTTTATAATGTGGAATCATGGAATCATTTGAGTTGGAAGGCATCTTTAAAAGCCATCCAAGTCCAACCCCCCTACAACAAACAGGGATATCTACATTAACTTATGATACTGCATATCACGTATCAAGTGCATATCAAGTGCTTATCACATAACAGATGTATTTATTCATATATTGATTCATGTTTACTCCTGTCATCTTTGCAGTGACATCAAAGGCACTATTTCCCCTAAAGATAGGGAAAGACAAAGAGGAATACCTTTAATTTGTCAAACTTATCATCGACATCCTGTAACCATGACATAAACTGTCGCGCGTTGAATCGATCCCTCACTGATGTTTTGCTGTCATCAGTCTGCAAAAAGAACAAAAAAAAAAAACTCCACCTGTAAGTTGTTTGATAACTCGTATCAGACATGCTTTAAAACATGAAAACATACTTTGTGGCACCTTCATAAACAGCACTTCCTTGGAAAACTAAACTCCAAGTCAATGTATCAAGGTACATGCAAGCATATGTCTTGATCTCCCTTCCCTCAGCTAGCTGCTCTCCAGAAATGGTTATTCCCAGATCCCCTCAGGTTAAAGCTAATCACTGTCCTCTATTTTTAAAATTGGAGTGGAGGCGTCAAGATTTATGCCTTAAAATCTTAATCAGTAGAAGGCAGATCTTCCACAACATTCTCTTTTTGTTCTTTTTAAAATTCAGTTACAAATCAAACAAACGTCCCCTCAGGGAAAAGCAAAACATTCATCAAGAAAATCTTAAGCAATCCGAGTTAACTGGCCACACAAGTATTCAAAACCAATTTAAGTAAAAATTACCACAGAAATCTGCAAAAGGGATTTTAAAAAGCAAGAAGGCATATCTTATTTGTCCTGCCCAGTTAAATCCATTCATATATTTAAAAGCTACTTAATGAGTCTGGAACACCAAATCTGTCCATTGTGAGAAAGTAGACTGTATAGTTTTTGCATAGCCAGATCATGTCCCTGTAATACTTCAATAACCATCACTAACCAGCACAGGCCCCTGTTGCATTTTTAGAAAAGAAAGCCTCCCCTTTTGCACGCTGCAGGAGAAAGCAGCAATGAGAAAGAATGGGGGAAAAAACTGCAAATGCTGAGGTCTCTAGAAAACTGCTGGCTAAGATTACAGATATTCCCCAAAGGAAATGCAAACAGAAGGAGGCCTCAGCAACACAGGTTTCATGATCCTGAACTGCAGGTGTTTTGCTGGGCTGTAACCAGCCTGCTCACCACAAATGGGGGCCTTTTTCTTCCCTATCTCTGCTCTGCTGCAAATGACCACAGGGAATGGTCCTTAAGGTCTGCATAACATTAGCAGTTATAAAAGCAAGCCTCAAAACACCAAGAAATCGCTCAGAAGCAGTTGTGGGAGTGTCATTTTCCTACAGAATAAACCAGATCTTTGCTTACAAATCTTTGTCAGCTATTTGCTCAAGTAAAAGAAAACCGAAATGATAATTTTTTTTTTTTTTTTTAAATCACAGAACACAATTAAGAGGTAGTGAGAGTTGTAGTATTTTACTACAACTGCTGTAGCAAATAAAAATGGCCAGAACAGCTGCAACACTTTGTGAAAGAAAAATAACCTCTCCTCCCATACAGATCCCTTTTGTTTTGCAGAATTCAAATACAAAAATCAGCTTTTTCAAAATCAATTGCAACATGACAATATAAAAATGCAGATCCATGCAGAGCTCAGATGCACCCTCAAGTTCTAAAGAGGGTGCATCTCAAAAAGGGACAAAATACACCCAAGGACACTAAACTCCAAAACCAATAATGACATTTTGCTCATTAACAAAAGAGAAAAATCTCTTTTGAAGATGATGACTTAAAAATTTGGCAGTACAAAGCTTTAAATGGGCAAAAACCACAATCTTCATAAAACTGGTATTTTCTACTGAGTTGCTTTGTTCTGCATGGTTCTTTAAAGGTAGGAAAAAAGTAATGGCACAGGTAGAGGAAACACTGGAAGCTGTAATTAACATGTAAAGAGTTACAGCACTAAAGTAGAATTCCACACACGTCTGACACGTAGGTGTTTCTTTGTATAATGCTCAGCATTCAATGCATCCAAATGTTTATTACATCTGTAATAGCAAATTTCTTCCTTGTGTTACGTCTCCTCAGTTACCTAACCAGGTTCTGAGTGCAGTTTCTACTCCTCTTAGTTAGTAAACCTGTTCACAAAATACTGATGCCATCAAACCATCTTCTAGATACATAGCTACAGTAAACTTCAGAGTGACAGCCCATAAATGATGCAGATTAAAAGTATATTAAATTTGATTTCATGAAAAACAACAGAGTCCTGGTTTAATCTTTCACATCATTTGTGGAGATGAAAGAAAACCAGGCAGAGTACAAAACATGAAACCAGCATAAGTACCTGTGTCCTCTTGTTATTGCACTTCTAATGTGGTGTGCAACGCTGAGCAAAATGAGGCCTAAGCAAAATAACAATCTACAATATACAAAATCTTAATCCCAAGCAAATCAGTGACAGCTTCGGTATAGCAATGGAATTCTCTCCAAACACTCATTTTAAGTCAGACTAGAAAGGTACATTGGTCTGAAATTTACCTGAGCATCCAGGGGCACATTGTAAACCTCGGCATCCAGCAGAACAGTGCAGGCACTGAATGGTAGTGTTTGATTAGCTAGAGTCCTTGCTGCTCGGTAATGAACACGGAGGACTTCTTGCTCATTAGAAACAATAAGCTTTTCCTAATTAAAAAAAAATAATACATCATACATATCAACATATAAGCATTTCAGTTTGATTCATAAAAACGCTTTTGCATTTAAACTCATTGAGAACTTCCTGTAGGGACCTACAGCAAGCTGGAGAGGGATTACTTATCAGGGAGCATGGCAGTAGGACAAGCAGTAATGGCTTTAAACTAAGAAAGGGTCGATTTAGGTTAGATATTTGGAATAAACTTGTCACTATTAGGATGGCAAGACACTGGAACAAGTCACCCAGAGAAAGTGTGGATGCCCCATTCCCAGAGGTGTTCAAGGCCAGGCTGGACAGGGCTTTAAGTGACCTGGTCTAATATGAGGTGTTCCTTCCCATAGCAGGGGAATTGGAACTAGATGATCCTTATGGTCTCTTCCAACCCAAACCATTCTATTATTTTAACTGTGTGTCATCTACCAATACAGCATTTATTGTTGCTTAAATTCTTTTAATTCAGATGCTTTGATTCTGAGATTGCTAACACTCCTTAGCCTTCAGAACTAGAGTCTACAGCTTTCTTCCCACACTCTGCTGCCCCTAGGAAAAATCTGAGCCACATCTTAGAGCAATTAAGAAGAAAAAGCCGCTGTCTTACTGGCACAAGTATTCAGTTAACAATCGTTCAAACTATCGCTGAATTTGTCATTACCTTTTTTCTCTTTTTTGTATTTACAAGTTCTTTCAATTCAGAAATTTAGTTAAAAGGCAGTGTAGTTCTAAAGCAGTGTTCAACTGAGCAAAGCCTATTCACTGAAAAATGAAAACCCGAGATTGAGAAATGATAGAGAAAAGTACTTCAGTCTTACCCTTTCAATACTGTGCTGTAAACGTAGTTTCATCCTTACAACCTCCTGTTGTTTAAATAGTTCCTTAAGTGGGTCTGACAGCGAGGGAGGAGGTGTAATCTGTGGAAAATGTTTTATAAATAGTATAATGAGTATGTATTTCATGTATGTTTAACACTGCCTGAATGATTTGAGCATCTATTAAAAAAATAAAGGGAGGGGGGGGGTTCCTAGGGAAAAATAGGAGTTTTGTACATTAATTCTATAACTTTAAACCATTTGCAATGAAAAGTTTTAAGGCTTCTTTACCAAAAAGTTAATAAACTTGCCTGCTTGCAATGGCATTTCAAACTGTTAATGCTTTTAACCAGTCACAGCCAACATATCACAGCTATTTTTTAAAAGGTCTATGCATTAGAAGATACAACTTGCTTTCAATTTTCTATAGCACAGCTGTTCATTTTGAAAATAAGGTAAAAACTGCCTAACCAGCCAGTTTCAAACTGCTACACAACACACACTTCACCTCTCTCCTAATGAAAATTGTTTGGCTCCCACAATACTGAGTGAGGTTTGACATCTCTTGCCCCTTTGTGCAAGCCATCATTATTAAAAGCAAACCCCACACTGACTACAATAACCTGCCTCAGCTGTAGTCAATTTCAGCATGTTTAATGTTCAGTCTGAGGTATTTTGCAATCTAGATTTGCCAAGAAACTTTGTATTCATGACACACTACCACACTGTTGTCCCATCTTTTCAGTGAAGTAAGACAAGATGGTCATAATTACACCAAGCTTTGATGTAGCTAATATTACTAAAAGTGAATCGATCTTTCAGAAAACTCAGTGCTTCAGCTAATAGAGAAACACACAGCTTAAGCAACACAAGCAGACTGCCTATAAAGTTATCCAGAAATAGAAATTTCACAGTTGACAAGCATCTGTATCACCTGAACAATATAAAATTTCATTATCAACTGTTTTTCCTTTGAATTCAAACACCACGTAATTTTGCAGGAGAAAGAAGAATTAACACCACCGGAAATAACTGGAAAGAATTTAATTATATAGGCAGCTAACTTGTATGGACTTCTATTAGTGAATGTAAGAGAGCTCTGCGCCTGTGAAGCTGCTATTGTGCAATAGCTTCTATTGAAAGTAAAAGCATTTTTCAGGTCCCAGAACTCTTCCATTACATTACTGATCAACAACAGATATATTTTCTAACCAATACTCAAAAAGAAAATTAAAGTTTCACTTAATCTAGCAATTAGCAGCTTTTCAGTAGCCTGTATCACTAAAACCCATGGCACAAAATGTTGTTTCAAGCAGCAGGTGGCAGCCTAAAACTGTAAATCAAAGTGCACTGATGTTAAGCTCTTGCTGACTGAGATTTCTTTTGAAGGGCTCCCGATGTTAGTTAACCATGCCTCGATTCTGTTTCAAAACTAAAATTTTGTTTCTTGCTTTCAGGAGTTAAGTATGCATTCTAGAAATTCAACCACGCTAGAAGAAGCCACCCCGCACTGAGGGCTTCTAAACTGCAGTAATAGTGGTCTTCCAGCAAAGGCTGAATCCCAAATACCCCAAAGCTACTCTCTGCAAACACTATTAGCAGTATGAAAGGCAACAGAAGGTTCTTCTGACCTCAGAGATTACTACAGCCTCTGTCTTCGAAAACATTAAACTAAGCACAGGACTGAATTTGCTTATTGTAATTTTCCCAAACAGTATGTTTTTCTGTCTTCTTGGAGAGTTTGGAAGAGCCTCAGCTACTCGATCCCAGCAGTCTGACACCACCTACTGGAAAATCCCAGACTTGGAACCGATGCTGGATTTGGACAAGAGAAATAACCTTCACAGCCTGAAGGGAAACTGAAATAAAAGGTTTTGAGGGAAACTGAGGAACGAGTCTCACTCATCTTTGAGTCAAAGAGACTGCTAGGAATGAGTCAATTAAGAATGTGTAGGGAAGAGATGAACCTGTATGGTGGAAACACAAGAACAGAGCACGAAACTGGATGCCACAAGCAAAAAGTGGCCTCAGTTTCCTGCACAACCAGGTCCAGGCTCCATATAGAGCATGATGGACAAGTGACTGCTGCCTTCTCGTGTGTTCTCTAATCCTGAGCAAATGTCCAAGAAAAATTCAATGGTGCTCAGCCCTTCAACACTCTGATCCACTGCATGAGAAGGCAGCCTCCTGAACAGTTTTGTTCAGTAATAGTTAGGCAGCAAGATGTATCTGCAACATCTCCAGCACATAAAAATAAATTACAAGCTCCCTGCATGTTTTGCATCCTTCAGATCAACAAGAATATTGATGCTTCATGCTGTAAAACCTGTAATTCTCATTTGCGATTGCTACAAGAGCACTAACTCAGATTCACACATATACAGCATTTCCAAGATTATTTTTGTGTGTCCCTTTTGCTATCCAAGTCAACTGGCTTACTATGCTATTTAACATTTAATTAATTTAGGAAGTAAGTATCTGATAACATCACTAAAACAAGTTTTACTGCGTTTTTCCAGCAATACCAGAGAGACTGGACAGAATTCCATTTGTTGGAAATACGTCTGTTAGATAGTCAGGGGAAGCTGGAAATCTTGGCATCTGTCCTCAGGAGGCAGTACAGACAAAGCTGACAGAACCCCCATTGAATACACTGATGTAGCAATCCAAAGACACCATAGCTAAGTATGATTTAAATCTATTCTTAGGACATTCAGATGTTTCCTTCCATTTTGAATTGACCTCATGTCACTGTCTTATATTTGCACTGGCAGAGGGAAGCCACAATTCATATTAACTATCACTACTGTAACCTCAGGTGATCTGGGTCATAAATTACAGTATATAAACAAAGCAGAGCAAAATCAAACTCGAAAGCACCATCTCCTGGTTCCCACCTACAGGATGTTTGAAGTTCCTCATACAAACAACAGCTTATCATTAAAATCTCAATGCGGAGAACAAGCAGTACATTATGTGAACTACTCTGAGTCTCAGAGCTAAATAAATTTTCTTCTTGTAGACGTTCACACAATGATACAGCAATAACTTAAGAACAAATATCTGCCTTCCTACCTATGAGTGAAGCAAAAATCAGGTTAACAGAGAATCATTAAAGAACTACTTAAGGAAAAACATAAAAACAATTCCAACAGAAAGGTCATTTTATTGTTGCACATCACATTATGCATTGAGTTACTTACACTCAAATGACTCAAAACTATGAGGGCAGCTGATGTGCCAGAAGGTGTGCTGCTGCTATCCAGAGGGAGAGGATGGAGAAACGAACTGGCAGAACCCTCATGAAATTCAGCAAGGAGAAGTGCAGAGTCCTGCACGTACAGAGGAGCAATCTCAGGCACCAGTATGTGCTGGGGAACTGCCCAGCTGAAAAGCAGCACTGGGGTCCTGTTGAACACCAAATTGAACATGAGCCAGCAAAGTCCCCTTGCTGTGAAGAAGGCTAATGGTGTCCTGGGCTGCCCCAGGGCAAGTACTGCCAGCAGTACCGGTAGGGCCACATTTGGAGTGCTGGGTCCAGTTCTGGGTTCTCCAGCTCAAGGGAGACATGAACATATTAGAGACATTCTTACAAAGGACCACGTGATGATGACAAAGGGACTGGAGCATCTCTGTTATGAAGAGAGGCTGAAAGAGATGGAGCTATTCAGCCTGAAGAAGAAACAGCTAAGGGTAATCTCAGCAATACCTGAAGGGAGGGTGCAAAGAGGACGGAGCTACACTCTTACCCGTGCTACCCAGTGCCAGCACAAGAGGCCATGGGCACAGACTGGAGCACAGGAGGTTCCCTCTGAGCAGCAGGCAGCACTTCTGTGCTGTGCAGGTGACGGAGCACTGGCACAGGCTGCACAGAGGCTGTGGGGTCTCCTCCTTGGGGATCTTTGTAAACCACCTGGATGTGGACTTGGACTCCCTGCTCTGGGTGACCCTGCTGCAGTGGGACTGGGGAACCCAGAGGGCCCTGCCTGCCTCAGCCATGCTGCGACTCTATGATTAACATTCCATTTGGCATAAGTTACCTAAGAAATTACACTACACAATCATCTAAATTTATTCTCATGAACTAAAGAATCCCTACTACACATAGTCAGAGAGACAGGAAGGAGGTATGAGGAAGTACTTAGAAGTTCTTCCTTCTAGTGCCATTTGTGATGGGGAAATGAGCTTATTGCCAGGGTAGAAGGGCCATTGAAAAATATTAACTACACTTCTTCATTTCCCAATAATCTCAAACTAAGCATTGACATTTAATGCCAAACCTGTAAGCTGTAGCTTAGAAACTGCATGTAGTTGGCTAGTAGCTGCCATAAAAAAAACAAATACATCTCTGCTTCTGGTGATAAAAATACACTACAAAAGCTGAAACAGCAACTGAGAAAGATTTCTAGACCAAGGAAGGCCTGGTATATTGTAGCAAAGTTTAGGATACATCCTAGGTCACTTGCAGATCAAATAAAATAGTAACCTTATGCGCATCTTTCCTCCCATAGTTTTCTCACAGCTAACTTGCTAATTTCAAAGAAATCCATCAGTTCCTATCTGAGAGAGAAAATGTTACAGGATATACATACTCCCTCATGCAGACATGGGGCATATATGGTGGAAAAAAATGAGAGGAAAGAGCTTCCACAGTAACAATGACTACCTCTGGAATGAAGCAACACAAATTTTAAAATGTATTTTTATATACATTAAATTTCATTTACAAATTTACAAATTTAATATACATTGAAGTGTTCACTGCTTAATCAAAAAGGATCTTCAGCTCTAGTGGAAAAAGCTATACTGCATCTCAGGTAGGAAGTTATCTTCAGTGAGTCAACAGAATAGCTGGTCCATTCAGAAGTACAGAGCCCCAAACCAGGGGCTTTGTAGCAGAGCCCCTTAACCAGGTTGCTTACAGAGCTATTTCATATGCACAGACCAATCAGTTTAGCAGGTATTTCTGCTATCAAGGGTTTACAATATTCTCCCTACTCCTCCTAAAATTGGATTTTTCCTTGACACATCCTAAGTAACGTACATACAATCCAATACTATTGAATTCTGACATTATCAAGATACTGTATGTCAGCCAAACAACTGCTTTAGGTAATCAATGATCTCTCACTATTCCAGCTATTAAGTGTATCAACTGAAACCATTCAAACAGGTTCAAGCTCCTTTTACTTCAATACTAGACAAGGTTAACTCTGGGTTAATCTCTAATCAGTTAAACTCTTAAAACTCTAATCAGTTAAAGTACATCAGATGAAAACCACCTTCTATTCCCAGGAGCAAGAATGTGGCTAGCAAAAAGCCCCCAATGCACAATGTATTGGGTCTTCTCCATCCCCTCCACCTAGAACAACAAGCACAAGTGTGCTGAAGAACAAAGGAAGAGCTACCCTGATTGCACTGACTTCAAACAGAGACTAGCAGTAATCAAACCACTGTTACACTGTTACATGTTCTGAGGTGTAGTGCCACAGTAAAAAGTGATATTAACTACACTTCAGCCAATTCTGTGCTATACTGCACAGAGGACTCCCAAATTACAGGCCTCTTTCACAGCTGTCATTAGGAATATGCCCAGCAAATCTATAGAGAGCTTAGAACTAAACAAGTGTCCCCGGACTACAGATGGTCTTCAACAGAAAGGACTTCACATGAACTACAATTCAGAACACTTTAAATTGATGGATGACAACAGCTGGGACACAGCATATTATATTCGCTGCTTTGGTGAGTATTAAGGAGACTGCAACAGCTAGCAGGCACTCTCCTGCTTAAAACACTGATAATAGACTTAGTATCTTAAAACACTGCACATCCACCACTCTCCAAATAAAACAGCTTTGAATAATTAGTTTTACCCACACTATTGTTGGTAGAAATTTGGAGAAGCTCTAAACAGCTACTTCAGTTTTAAAAGTGTAGGCATTATAGTAGCAAATACTTTGAAATATTTGTGTGTCTTTTACAGATACTATACACGATGGTTTATCTTGTAATGACTTTGACACCATTGCTTGTATGTCCATCAAACGCTGCTTTTAAATTCGTCATTACCAGTAAATGTTAATTTGACATATTGCAACTTAAGATTTTTAGCTCTGGTAATCAGAAGCAAGTTAGGAAGAAAATGAAAGTGACAAAAACAAACAGAAAAAACCAGTGTCTTTCCTTGAAGTGCATATTTAAAGAACACGTTACTTACAGTTGGAATGCATATCTTGCTCAGGGGATTGCCATCCAGTAGATAAGATCCGTTGAAGGTCACATATTCATCATAATATTGAGGTGCCTGAGGAATAACACTGCACAGTAACTTACGCTTCTCTTCTATCTTTTTTCGTATGTGCAAGTATTCAAAATATGGATTTGCTCTCTCAGAACAATACGGCTGGATCTCTTCAAGTTTCAAAGAATCAACAACAGCTGCCAGTGACTGCTGGGTTTTCTCTTTAGCCTGCAGTAAAGAAGGGTTCGCTTGCACAGGCTGAGGTACACGAGACACCTTTCTTTTACGTGGATGATGTACCTGACCATCATCATCTTCAGTTAATCTAATCCTTCCTTTCATAGATGCTAATAATTCAGACTCCTTTTCTAACGTCTGCATGCAGCCAACAGGATTCTGTTTGCCCTGGTTTGCCAGTACATTTGCTCTATTTCTTGTGATTCTTTGAGGTACTTCTTGCTGTTCCATCTTCTGATCCTCAGCAATTTCTTCTTCTAGTTTAACTATTTGACTGTATTTATGCACCTCTTCTTGTATAATCTCTTGTGAACTATTTTCTGCATTAGATAAAGAGTACTGCAGTGCTTCATCTGTCAACACATTCTCTCCGTCGGCAGTGCAGGGCTTTTTATTAGATGAATCGTTCATAATTCCCTTTGACATTGCTGAACGTAGATCACAGAGATCAGTGTCAGCTTTACTGTTAACAACATGCACAGAAATCAAATTTTCTTGCTGGTCTTTTTCATTCCTGATGTTCGAAGTATCCACTGCGTTACCATCCACTTCAAACTGAGTATTCCTGCAAACAAGTTTATTGAACGCATATGAATTTACATTTAACTGTGAACTGCCATCAGATTCAGGAATATCTTTTTCTAACACCACCACAGGTAAATCATTCACCCTTTCACAGGTCTGTGAAATATCCTTCACAGAGCTCTCAGAATATACAGCATGTGGTGCATCAGCCTTCTGAATGTTGGAAGGGATGAAAACATTTTCCGTCTCTCTGGTGCTACTAGCATCTGTATTGATGGCAGAACTTACAGTTTGAGCTAGATTTTGTTGTACAAGTAAGGAATCTTGATTGCTAATGCCTGGTAAAGAGATGTGTTTAGATCCATCTGGAAGTGGCTGGATGGGTAAGGAACAAGGTGACTGTGAAGGCAAAAACGATGCAGATTCTTGAGAACTGGAATTTCCCTTGATCTCAGCATGCTGGGGCAAACATTCAGCTACTTTTTGCTCTTTTAATGTCCGGTTTTCAGAATTATGCATTGCTACAAAATTATTATTATCTTGCTCCGATACATCATAACCTGAGCTGCTACACTCATTGTTTATTGAATTAAGTTTGTCAAAAGGCACATCCCAAGGTTTGGTTTGCTGAGTCACACTACTTTGACTACATGGTTCTAAATGAATATTGTATTCTTCTGAGGGATTCATCTGAGCAATATTTTTAGTGGTACTTGTACCCACTGTTACCTGCTTGTTGCTAAAAGCTCCAGTTGGAGATGACTGCAAACCAGAAAAACTGCTTTGAATATCTCTTTCAACCATGCTACACGGGAGTTCTGGTTTAGGAGAAGTGCTGGGAAAAGTCTGAACTGACATCTGAGCATTCTGGTTATTTTCCTCTGATGTTCGAGGCGGTTTGCTGTGTTCAGAAACAGAAGCAGGCATGCTGCATCTTCGAACCTCTACAACAGGTCTACACTCATTTAAAACCAGTTTGAAGTCTTCAAAAGATGCTGATCTGATGTATGCTGGTGGAAGCCTGTTTGCAAAAGATGGCTTCATCCGATCAGGCAATTCGGCAACACCATCGGTCTCTCTTTCAAGAGGGGCTGGTGATTTGGCAGCTGGCAAAAACGATGATTGTGAAAAAGACATTTGGGAATCAGCGCCTTCTAGCACAAAATCTGAGTCATGTTCCATTGAAGGTCTTGGAGTAGTTACTGTGGTATGGCAGGAATCCTCAGAACTTGCAACTGAAATGATGGACACTGATCTGGAGCTCTTTTCACCTTCTGATTTGGGGGATTTATTTGAATTATCCAAAACCAATAAAGACTTTATAACATTTACATTTCTTGTATCTACCGACTGGGATCTACTACTCGTAGCTTCTTTCTGCTGTTTCTCCTTCACACAAAAATCTGGCAACTCTGAGCTTTTTGAACGAGTAAGTTCTTTGTTTTTTACTTCAGGTAATGACTGCCTTTGTTTTTCTTTTATCTTGCTAAGTTCTAAACAAGCGCGACTTCGTAAACGTTCCTTCTCTTTCTGTTTTATTTTTTCTTTATGTTTTCTATGCCACTGCTCAATTTCCAGATCTTTAAGGCTAAGCATTCTTTCAAAACTAGTTTGCATTAAATCATCATTGACTAACCTTTTTTCTTTAGGTCGAACATCCTTTGGTGCAGGAGATGTTTTAGGCTTAAGTTTCTCATGCTCGAGTTTTAGCTTAAGTAAACTACTTTGATGCTGTTTATGCTTGTCTCTCTCTTTGTATCTGTCTATATCTTTATCTTTTTTATCCTTCTCTCTACCGTCTGGAGTTTTCAAGAAATCATCTTTTTGCTTTTCTTTCAAAGACATCAGTTTGTCATGCATTGATTTATTGCTGTCTGTAATGTTGCACCTTCTTTCTTCTTGCACGTGTTTTGAGCTCACTACTGTTGAACTCTCTTTGTCTCTGGATTTGTCTCTTCTTTCAGGTTCCTTTTCCTTGTCTTTAGTTCTGTTTTTTTCTGACTTAGTATATTCAGGTTCTTTTTCAGACTGTTTGACTTTTCTTTCAATACTGTGTTTTTCTTTGCTGTCAGCCAAATGTCTGTCTTTATCAACCTTTTCTTTGTCATGCTTCTTTTCTGTCTTTTCTTTATTTTTTTCTTTGTCATCAAGTTTCTTAAGAGTACCTGTGCTTTTAATTTTATCGTTTTCCTTATGGCATCTTTCAGCTTGCTGGGAACTGATCTTTTCCTTTACTTTCTCTATATTTTCATTCACTTCTGCTTTCTCTGCCTTACACTCGTGTTTTATTTTTTTCTCTTTTTCCCCGCTTTTTCTTTCTGTCTTTTCAACATCTTTTTCTTTGGCTGAGGTTCGTTTTTCTCTATTTTCCTTTAAATTCTTTTCATGCTTTTCAGTATCTGTTTCTTTTTCTATTAAGTGCATGCTAATCACCTCATCTTTAACACTTAAGCAGAACAATTCCATTTCTTTATCTGCAAGTATAGTTTCTTTTTCTTCTTTCGCGTCTTTCATTTTCTCATCCTTAAGAAACTTCTCATTTTCCTTTTTGTTCTTCTCTCTCTCCTCTCTAGCATTTCTCTCCTTGTGGAACTGTCTCTCCTTAGCTAACCTGTCTTCCTTTGCCACAGCTTTATCCAACTTCGATTTTCTGTCTGAAGGAAGAGTTTCATGTTCTATATTTAACAGTGTTTCTTCACTTTCATCACTTTTGAAAAAATTTTCTTTCCAAAATTCTCTGTCAAACTCAATACTTCTTTGGGACTCTTTAATATTATGTTTATGTTTTTCCTTTTCCCCATCCTGTTCCTTCTTGTCCTTATCTTTTTCTCTTTCTTTGTGCTTTAATTTATGCTTTTTAAGTGCTTTACCTTCCTTGTCAATCTTTCTCAGAGTATACTCTGAGTTCTCAAACGTAGGGCTATTATCTTCATCTTTAACTTTAGAGCTAGATTTTTCACCAAATTCTAACTGAAAATCTTTCTGATGATGCTTGCTTTTTTCTTTATGCTTACAAGATTTGCCACTAGAGCTTTCTACTAGATACTCAGCATCCGCACTGTGATCGCACCGAACCAATTCAGGCTGTAATGCTATTTCAGAGCCTCCCGGTGATAAGCAAGTTTTGGTGTTTTCTTGCTTTAATGCTGTTGCTTGCTTTTCACTTAATCCACAGGGATGCTTAGGAGATTTGCCAGCAGCAATATGAAATAGTTGTAAAGAAGAATCTTCTTTTTGGCTGAAAGACTTCTTAAATGTTTCTTCATCTCTAGGTTTATCTAAAGAATCTAACCCTGAAGTAGTGATATTTGTTACTCTAGCATTTTCTTTTTCTTGTTTTAGTTCCTGATTCTCTTTATTTTTACTTTGATTTTTTACTTTCTTTTTAACTTTGCCTTTTTGCTTGTGTTCATTTGTAACAACACATTCTTTCTTTGCTCTTACATCAGAACTTGAGGTCTCTGAAACAGAACAAGGAGAGACTACCTTTTTGTCCTGGAGTATTTCTTCGTCTGAGCTTTCAGAACTTGAATACAAAACTCTAGATGGCTTTTGTTTCTTGTTTTTAAGTGATTTTGAAAATGTAACTTTTTCTTGTTTCGCAAATAAGTTGTTCTTTTCAACTTCTGTTTCATCCTCTTTCCTTACATCTTTTCTAAGAATATGTCTGTTATCAATCATTTTCTTCATTTCATCTTCATCATCATCTTTAAACTCATATTCATCCAGTGCAGGTGGATGTGGTGCCTTACTGTGAACAATCTGTTTGCTGCCGTTGGCTACAGAATCTTTTTCCACTTCTGAATCAACATTCCCCTCTACACTGGAAGGATTTACAGATGGAGCTTCTTCAGAATCTACATGGAGAAAACCAGAAATTAGCTGAATGTCAATGGAACGTTCTCATTAAGTTCAGGACAAAAGGACAAAACTGGCAAACTTACAGAAAATAACAAATAACAGAATATAATTAGAAATGTGGCCTATTCAAAACAGTGAGCAACACTGCCTTAGTCCCTACCACATAACAGATTGCCCTGACAGAAACTATAACCAAACAAATACAAAGATTTCATAATGTACAGTTCCTACCAATATCCTCAGATATCTTTAAATACACATTTTTAAATCCATTAAGGCCTTTTGTATGCAGCAAGATTCTTAGTTTTTATAAATTAGGATTATTAATTTTTCAAAATAATTGCAAAACAATTAAGATCAAAGACGCAGAATGATAGACAGCGAAATTTTAGGCAACAGAAGTCAAGTTTATAATTCACAAGTTCCTGTACATTTTATAAAAACACTACCCTTACTTTAATCTTCACTTGTAACCATAAGATGCTTACCACATCAACAAAAGGGCCATTAAACAAGACATCAGTTACACTGCTTTACAACTGAAAGAAGACAAATCCTCAAAACACATTATATATGTTCTTTCTAGAATTAAGCTTTTCAAGAAAAATCAAAAGAGAAACCAATGTTCTCACAATTTACAAATGTCACACAGGTACATAAGCACATGGATTATCATTTATATCCCAATCAAATAAAAGTAACACTCTAAGTTTAGTAAACCTCATTTTTAATGTGTAGTACCTGCATAACCCCTTTCTCAAGTGTGTCTTTCTGCTGATGACTCATTCCTCAAGGAATTCATCAACTTTTACACTTTCCAACAACTAAATCATATTCTCCTTCACATGAACTGTCAAAGTACCTTGTTTCAACAGTAGGTGAACTTTAATTCTTAAAAGACAAAGAGCTCCTATTGTAAAGAAATTCCCCTATGAATTTTTAAGCACCTGATGTAGACAGTCAGAAGTCTGCTAGGCTTTCATTCACTGCAACTGGTCTCTAGTATGTAAGTGCATGGCATGAAACAAGTATGCTGTACTGACTGTCCTGATTTGCAAGTTCAAAATTGCAAGCTGAACTTGCAATTCTAGCTGAACTTGAATTCAGTTATTCAGTAATTGTACAACTGAACAATGGAAATCTCTCAACTGTTTGCGAAGTTAGATTTTACACAACATATGCAGTGTTATCACCACTTGATCATGACAAAATTAGTACTAAAAAGTCTTTCAGAAATATTTCTGGATATATTGTTCCCTCCAAATAAGGTTCTTCCAACTCAAGTCTCTCCAGCTGAATTTATCATTTTGTTGTTTTTCTTAAAGGAAGAGAAATCACAATATCAATAAAACAGAACTAAGAAGATCCTATTATCTTCCGTATTATCTGTAGCATTCAGAACATGTTACTTGTTTGTGCTATCAGTTTTTTTTTTTATTCCTGGTTTCTTAGGAAGCTGCAGAGAAAGCTCTGTTCCTCCTGGAAACTATATTCCCAACTAAGAAACACCCTGAACAGACAACCATTGATGAAACAATTACTAAGTAGTAGCAAGTTTCTATTACACATGTGGAAAAATATTCTTCTTAAGATCAATAGTTAGGGCAAGCTTTAGTAAATCCTGTGACAAAATGCCATGACTATCCCTTAAAATGGGATGACTATGCTTTGCTTTTCAAGCTATTTTTTTTTCAAGCTATTCTTTCAATATGCAAAAAAGTCACAACTACATAGGTCAACATGACTACTGTGCTTCAAGTATAGAAAAACACTGAATAAAAAGCTTGCTTTTAAAGAAAATGAAGTTTGTCAGGGAAAACTAAAATGACTCTAACAATCATGTGGCATGAGTACCTCCTCACGTAACTTTACTTGAAAAAATATGAATTCCTTCCTCTGTGATAAAGAAAAGTTTGTGCATAGCACTCGAGCAAGTTACTCATGGTCAAGAGTCCTCTGTTTCCAAGGAGACAACAGTTCTTTCCATACCCCAAGAGGGGATACCTTTCCCTGACATGGCAGAAATAAAATAGGGGTCAAGAATCCCTGCCTGCACTTAAACAAGATACTATCTGGTCACCTTTACAAGTCAGTGATTCCTCCATGAGCAAGAACTTGTTTACTGAGCAAGCATTATGAAGTCACCCCCATGTGAAATTCTTGCTCCCAGTTCCTCTACTGAGGATACAAAGTGACTATGGGAATATTCTTCCCAGTAAGACCTCTTGAAAACATCTCTGTACTCCAAATAAAGTAAATAAGTAAAATTAATACAATAAATAAAACTGATAATATAAATACTGTATTATCTCATATTTTTCTCCAACAAAATCATACTGAGATAGAGTTGATTTGGAGGGTGGAAAGGGATTAATGGAGAGAAAAAAAAAACACAAATACATTATGGATAATTCAATTCAGTAGAAAGATCTGAAAATTATTTCTAAAATTAGAAAACAATCTTAAAAATTGCACTTGCTATCTGCAGCAAGTCTTCCCAGGTAACACTACGCAAAAGATTAAAACCATCAAATTTCAGATTAATTGATGCCCTGAAAGAAGTATGCAGTGAAATGGGTACTGTTACCTGAGCAACTGTCCTCATCATCAGAGATAGGTACCTCCCTTTTCAATAGCATTTCCAGCTCTTCAGTTTCAGCTACATCAACTGGCCTCTCTCCGTGCTTATTGGCCTGAAATGGATTTCCACCATGTCGAAGTAACAACTTCACAATCTGCAGCATTAAATAAAGGAACCTTTAGGTTTTCCAAAAGCATTAATTAACCAGCATAAAAATGGCTCCACTGGTCACAAAAGGTGAATAATGTGAAACTGAACTCCAAACTTCTCTCTGTGAAGTTGGTATCATAAATGAAGACTTCAACAACTAAAACGCAAAGACCAAATATCCATAATCAGCTTGTTAGAAGAGCAAATGGAATAGAAAGTTGTCCGTAATTAAACGGATACAGTAACATCAGAAAGAAACACAACATGACCCTTTTGATTCTCACTGTTCTGGCATCACTTCACAGAAATCACCTGGTTTCTCACCTACCAAGCTCTCTATTCATCTGAACTTAACCCACCTCATCGCTACAAAATGTGTACCACTGAAATCTAACAGGACAAGTTTTCCAAGTAGCAATATTACAAGTTTCCACGGCATTTCAGAAAAGTTCTGTTAGAATCTATGTGTCATTGGAGGAATAAATTATCCCTTGTCCCCAACTGAATATTATAGAGTGACATTATCAGTGTCTGTCATTAAGAGCAGAATTATTAAAGTTGCAGTGATACTAAGGCTGCTGCATCTTCATCACATATCCAATATCAGTTACTTTTTATTGTTTTCTTTTGTTGGTTTTTTTTTGTCTACATGAAAAAAATGTGAAAATTTAGCAGTCAGTAATATGGTTGCAAGACACATCAACATTTTTTTGACACGTAACATCACTGAGACGATCAGAGATTCCAAGGCCAGACCATGATGTACTATCTCAAGCAAGCTCTATCTAAAGGCCCACTTTTGTTTTGATATCCATCAGATATGATTACCAAATCATTAATAAAACTTTCACAAATCTTATTCTTGTATTTCTCTTCTCTAACGTTTCCACAAAACCTTTCCAAACTGGATAGCTTGTTTGAAAGGTATATTTTATCTATACGTAGATAAAAAGTATATTTCAATTTTATAAAGCAAATCACGCACAGTAATTAAATGAAGGAGACATAAAAAGAGAGAAGACTCATTGTTGCACCTAGCTTACAGAGAACAAATTTGGAAGCATGCAGAATGCCTATGATACTCCCTTTATCTTCTCCTCTAACTCACCATGTGTGAGTACTGAAAAAAATAGTAAGGATATACATAACATCGTTCTGTTTCAAAGTCCACAAACATAAAAATAACTGTTAATTTTTATATGTATATATAAAATATATATAGTAAAACTATGCATATAACAAACAACATAATAAATACATAGTATTATTATAATGCATAAAATATAGAACTGTTTATAATTTAAATACGTAGTATTATTATAATGCATAAAATATAGAATTGTTTATAATTCACAAATATTATACAGATTAAAATAATATTATGCAAAATATCACATACTATTATCAGATATATAGAAGGATAGATGATTATAAATAAAAGCATGTCTTACACTCTTGTATGAACTGAAATAAAAAGCATTTCTTTAAACTTGCAGTATATGGTTTGGAAACATTTTGTTATTGAGAATTCTACATGATATAAATCTCTTAAAAATCATTAAGATATCTATTTAAAAAGTAAAAGTGAAATTTAAAGCATTTAAGAAAGCAGATACTGGCAGAAAATACCTCACAATAGAGTTATGATGAAAGCAGGATGGAAAAGCAAACCAAAAAAGCTTTAAGATGTCCCCAAGACAGCAGAAACAGTATTACAAAACCCCATGAGACTAGTCAGAATAGTAATGATTTGTTCTAATGATTCAGCATTTCAAGCCACTTATTTGCTTCCCTTACTCTCACAGCACACTCACATTTCTATGCCCACTACTAGCAGAATCATGAAGTGGTGTATCATCATCCAAACCCTGCGTGTTCACGTCAGCTCCTGCTGCAATCAGGACTTTAGCAACATCATAGTAACCAACATTACAAGCTTCATGCAGTGGGGTCCAACCTACAATAAAGAGTGGTAAATATAAGTTTGAAATTTAGGAATTAGTTTGGTTTTGCTTTCTCCTGTACTGTAGAGCTCTATGTCCTTGAAACACTTCAAAATATATCATAGAGTAGTGTGGGAAAGGGTAACACCATCCATCCAGTGAGCACATGCTTTACCAGTCTTACCCCTCACAATGAGCTGTAGATTTTTATTTCCACATCAATAATCTTAAATTCAGTTGCTTCCCATTTTCTGCAGTAGAGCCTCAAGCGAAGATGATAAATCTGTATTTTCTACACTCCATACTTCAATCTCCTCTCCTCCACTTAATTCCTCCCATTTCATAGATACCCTAAATTTCCAGGCTGTTCTTCAATAACTTTCCGAAGTCTAATTCTGAAAGGGGACTCAACTTCCACTCTATAACACAGCCAGTGCAAGTCTGGAAGAGTTTATTCACTTCAACTCTACATTCTGTAAGTCATGGTCTCATACCTCTGTTCAGAAACTCATGATTTATCTAGTCCTTCTTTAAGGAAATTTCTTATCTTCATCTCTCACTCAACTTCTGATACTTATTTAAAAATATATTTTCATATATTTTTTATTTTATATTACCTATTTTATATTACTTACTTTATATAATTTATACTTATTTAAAAAATAAACAAAAAAATAAAAATCAAACCAACAAAACAAAAAAAATCAACCACCACCACCAAAAAAAACCAAGGCTTCTAACTTCTTCTGTAATAAAACATATCTTCCTGATCTTCAAAATCTTTTTTTTTCCATCATCACTTGGTTCATTCACTTCTAGCACTGCCTGGCTACAACCACTTCTTTCCATTTTCTTGACATTTGTCTTTTTTCCACTCATCCACACCAAAAACATTATTTTGCTCTCAATCTTTCGATCTCTGTCTTCTTCCTAACAGTGACATACTTAATTCTCTCCACAGTTCATACTTCTCAGTGTTTTATTGCTTTGCCTTTTTATCCTATCAAAATATCTAGCACGCCAACCCTAGTCCTGGCTTTCTCTCAACATGTGTTTCCTTTACTCCAGTTCTCACACAGCAATATTATTCTGGCAAATACTGCATGAGCAGGGTACTTCTTCCATTACTAATTCATTTTCTCCTCCTTTTGTTCCGCCAACTTCTTAGCTAAAAAACTCTTCATTCTCTGAGCTTCATTACACCCTGAATTCTTACTTTTCTCCACTCACGACTTACTCCTCAAATCTTCCCCTTCTTCTTGACTTCTTCCTTTACACAGGAATTTCAAGCTCAGCCACCTCTTCTTCTCACTTTGGATTACCAAATAGAGATGATTCCACTTGATCTATTTCTATGATTCCTTGATCTATTATATTATCTATTCACATCTATTCCAGTGCTCTGAACAAAATTCCCAATGACTTGCTCCTAATTGATTTCTAGAACAAGCTCTCAAGCGTTCTCATCTTTTCTCCTACATCTAAAATTAGTTATATGTCTGTGCTGGATCTGCCTGGAATGAAGTTATGAAGTTAACTTATAGCAGCCCATATGGTGCTGTGCTTTGCACACACCAGTGGTTTGACTACTGCTGACAGGTGCTTGCAGTATTAAGGCTTTCTCTCTCTCTTTGCCCTTCTCCCCCACATAAACAAACTGGGAGTGGGTAAGAAGCTGGGAGGGGACACAGCCAGGACAGCTGACCCAACTGGACCAAAGAGACATTCCATATTTATGAAGTAATGGTCAGCAATAAAAACCTCTACAAAAGGAGTAAGAAATTAGGGATATTTGTGGCTATAGCAGTTATCATCCAAAGCAAATACGTTGAGGTCCAGGTTCTCAGGAACTTGTAGGACATCACAAAATAGTGAAAGAATTCCTTTTTCCTTTGCTTGCACATTCAGCTTTTGCTTTTCCTATTAATCTTTTTCCCTATCTTCTTGGATCTTCTTGATTCAAGATGTTTTTTCCTTATCTTTCTCTATTGTTCTTCAAAAAGGGGCAGTGAGAGAGTGGCTGGCTGAGCATCAGGCAGCTGGTCAAAGTTAATCCATAACATCTCCTTTTGAACTGTTTCTATTCCCCTTGTGATTCTATGGTTCTGCCTTCTTCTGAATATCCTCATCTCCCCTCACAGCTTCTCCAAAGATCCCACTGGATTCTGCTTCTGCTTCCTTTCTCTTCCTGTATAAAGCAGCCCTGGGCAGCCTCATCTTCAAATACAAATTCAGTCACCCCAAGAAATCACTGATCTGTTTCTTATCTACAATAAAAAGTTCAATCCATCTCAATAATATTTTCTCTTGATGTTAGCTAATCATATCACATCATTCTTAACTTTACTGAGACCTGCAACTTTACCTCATCTCATTATTCCCATAGAGAATATAACTCTCCTTAGAACCATTCAGGCTTACAATCTGAGCATCTGTAGCAGGCTGCTCCACAGATTTAGTCAAAATTCTAATTCAGACTTCCATTGTATTTTTGCTTCCATTATGCAATGACTATAAAAACTCTAAACTGGTTATTCTGCTAGCTCTGCCAGTTAACAATACCAGCAAGCACTCTCAGTATTTTCTTTATTCCCTTGGGATGCCATGAACTTTGTCACATTTCCTTCAAGTTTTATCCTCCATATCGGGAGCACAGCCTTTTTGGAAGAAAAAAAAAACCAAACCACCAATGACGTTACTCTTTTTCTTATTTCCCTGCCTTCCCATAATCCACTTATTCCTACTGTGAATGTAAAAAAAAACCCAACAGTTAATGGCTAGAGATGAGAAGCAGACAACTGGGGCAGTTCATGATGCTGCTTGTATAACGTGCACTTACCATTCATGTTTCTAATTTTTTTAGCAGTTGCCTTTGCATGCAAGAGAAAAGCAACTACTGAAACCTACCTTTTACAGAAGCCTCTTAGATCCCAACCCCACAATAACCCTCTCATCACACCCAATCCCACATCCCCTGGTTTATTCTTTCATTCCCTTCACTGTTTCAACCCCTCCTAATTACCGCAACCCCCTTCAAAGCTATACATCTCTATCCAATACACGGCTTCTTACATCTTTTCATAGTGGCCAAGGTAAAACAGCAAGTACTTATCTCAGTATGTAAATGCATTTCATTTGGTATCTGGCCAATCAACAACTGGCAATTACTGAACTCTAACTACAGATTGTATCTTCTGCGGAGATATTACTCGGGGGGTCTCACATTTACTCTGCTGTTGTTGGTTGGTTGGTTTTTTTTGGTCTGTTTTGTTTGTTTTTGTTTTGTTTTAGAGATGTAATTACCAGGAGACTGTGAAAAGGAAAATACGCAAAAACTCGCCATCAGGTTCTAAAAAATCATTTAGGAGGTCTTACAAAGAGAGAGGCAGTACCGACATTTCTGTACCAAAAGGTTACTAAAAGAATACCAAAAAAAGGTAAAATATCAAATAAAGGGCACTAAAAAAATACATTACAGGTTACAACTTATCCTAACATTTATCAATCAGTGATGAAATCAGATACTTACGTACCAAAACTAGTGTTAAGCCTCGATGACAACTGTAACGTACCCCACATTGGTTCCGCTTTGGTGCATATTAGCTGTTCCAGTAAGACAATGTACATTACATGCTACCCTTTGTTAGTCTTTGCTTGTCTTCACATGTTCTATAATCCCATTATCAGTCACAGACTTTGCCTAGTATAATTCTTCAAAATTCAGCAAGCATGCACACATTTTTATACGGAAAGGTCCTATCCACAACTGAAATATCCACATATTAACACCATATTAGTAAGGAACCATGTACTAGCAACCAAGTATCACCATTACTATCGGGAAAAAATAAATTTAAACTTTTTTTTTTTAATTTGCATACAGCATGTCAACTTAAACCTGTGTTAAGAGCTTCAGCATTAATTTTGAATTTGTACAGTCAGGCAAACATATATCAACTTACCTGCAAAATCTTTTACATTCACATTTGCACCTAAACTGATAAGCTCCTTAACTTGTTTAACATCCCCTCTAATTGCTGCCATATGTAAAGGAGTTTCCCCTCGTTCATTTCTCTTGTTAACTTTGTCTTTCTGTCTTGAAGAGGAGCTTGGAGTTTTCTTTTGTGCTGGTGTTGTTTGCAGAGGATGATTCAAGTTGGAATCTACAAAGTAAGTTTTTAAGTGGTCATTTATACTTACTCAGCAGTGTTTTTGCTTCATTTTAATGCTTGTATTTGAAGATGATAATTACTAGTGAATAATAAGGGATATGATTGACACTTCAGATGTATCAGCACAATGACTACTTGCAATGTAAAAAAAAATGCCTTGCAAAGTTTTACCATTTTAAATATAGGTTTCAAGAACAGATGAATCCTATCCAAACTACAAAAGTTCACATACTCTGATATAATTTTTTTCTAAAACAAGACAAAGCACCACCAGTATTTCATATACGAATAGACTTTTCCAGCATGAGAGAATAAAGAATATGCCTTTGTCCCATACAGTACTCCAGAGGAGCCTTATAAAGACACCTCCTTTTGCCATGAAACTGTCTTCCCCTTCTCTACATATAAACAGTTTTAAATACAGTGGGACACAGCTATCTGGCTCTCTTAAAAAAAATAAAAAATAGAAAATTAATAACTAACTAACTAAATAATGCAGCCTCTCACTTTCAAATGCAGATTTTGTAAAAGCACCTGTAAAACATCATCATGCATAAAGATTTTTTTATTTACAACTGAGCCATGGACAGTTTGAAATTCCAAGTCAAAAAACAATGCATCTCCTTCCCCCATTAAATCCTGAAGAGATTATTCAGTTTCCTTCCAAATGAAAATAAAAATAGATATTATTTCACCTTAAATAAATGTATGGTACTATATCTGGGTAAATATTCAAAGGAAGAAAACTCATTTTCAGCTTCCACAGCTATCATAATGCAAACATTTACACACAACAAATACAGAAGGTCAAGACTTTTTTAGCAAGTTTCTCTTCTACAGAAGATAGAATTCTACCAGAATTAGTAATAATTCAAAAGTCTTCCAATCAAAATCAAGGATTGTAGAAAAACTGCTGGGTTCATAGTATTCTAATGGGGACAGAATTAGACAAGGAAAAAGAAGTGTTAGCTTTGTAGGATCACCTGGACTGTTGTCTCTTGCTGTCATCTGCATAAGAAGTGCCATCTGTTTGCGCTCTGACAGAGGATAACCAAAAAGAATGCTAACTGGCGTTGATTTCTTATTTCCAGCATCCTTCTTCACTTTCTTTTTCTCCGGACCTTCCTTCTCTGGAAATATTAATGTTAAGAGACTCAAACTACTGTTATACTACGACATTTTTCTAGAAATAAAACCATCCTTTCAATGTATGCGAACTGGAGACCGATGACAGCTGGTAAAAAGCAGAAACTGCACCTCTGAACTGCTGCATTTGCATTACATTTGGTTAACTGCTTCAATCACACCAGGACAAAAAAACAAGGAAAAAGAAGGAATGAATAAAAAAATTATAAAAGATGAAAAACCTGTTTCACAGCAGTAAGACTATCTAAGTCACAATTCTAATTTTCAGAGTATCAAGTCAGATACTTAACAAAATATTTAAGATCAGCTTTTTTACTTTCAGCCTCAAATACAGATTTGACATTCTCCTTTAGTTTTCCTCTCTTAAGACACCATGTTAAAAAGTGAGTAAAACTTCATACTTAGATCTGTTAGATAATGGATAAATCATTGTTTTTCTTAAGCTTATTCTGCTAGTTGAAGCCAGAGCAATTTCTTCTCTGAAATATATACCCTTCAAAAACATACAGCAATTTCATATATTTTATATACATAACTTCTTTCATTTTATTAATACTTACTAAAGCTCTTTAACAGTACTCCATGCCTAAGCTTTCAGCCAGGAGCTAAAATCACACGTTTGAATAAACAGATAATTTCTAAAGCTGTTCAGTACCTATGAATTCTCACTGATCTCCCAATCAGTTAAGCGTGCTCTGAAATTGGATAACTTTTTAATACCCTAACAAATTTAAAAACTAGAACTTTGTGCAAATTAGAAACTTTGGTCTGTCTTCCATCCTTTTCAAATATTCTTCCTTCATTCTTCCATATCAGTTTCTCCTATACCAATCAGAAGCATTTAGCTTGAAGTACAGCAAAACAGCTGATTTGTGAGTAGTGACTAGACAGCTTTTAAGTGGAACAACATCTCATGATCTTAATATAAGACAAGCACAATACATCTCAATCCATCATATTTCTTGTACAACTATTCCACACATCTCCCTGTCTGGTAAGTATTTTTTGTCTGTGTTTTCTGGATATAGATATTAGCTTGCATTTATTTAAGTCAAGACCATTGATTTCTTCCAGTTATCTCAGCTTTCCAGGCAATTGCTCTTTTGCTATCTTGAAAAATTCTTGTTTCTATTTTATTCTATTTTTCAACTGTGTAACAAGATTACAAAAATTAAAAAAATTAAAAAAAAAAAAGAAACACTTGCGCTTATCTTCATAATGGAAAGATTTTTTCCAATCTGCAGTTACATTTATTACACAGAGAAACACATTTTTTTTCTCTTCAGGTTAGTAAAATGGAGTGAGCAAACAAACTTCTTTGAACAGCAGCACTTGCTTGCTGTTCTCACTCTGATGCAAACAGGAGTTATTTAAAAACAATCTGACCAATTACATTACTGAAAATTAAAAAATGACATTTAAGTATTGTGAGTGATGGTATTTCCATCAAATGATGACTTTTTATTGGATAACTTCTGATCAAAGAATTTATTAAAGAAGGTATGAAAAATGTTTCTTCTTCTACCATCAATCTCACCAGTTTTACACAAAGCTGGCATGTAGAATGCTTTGTAAGATTATTGGAGATTAGCTTCAATAAGGGCTAAAGCTACGCTGCAATTAAATTTGGTATCTATTCATCATACCTATCTAGCTCCATAGCATTAGCTTTTTTGTGGCAGCTTTTGATCGCAGAACAGGGATGTAGCAAGAGAGACATCAACTTAGGATTCAAACAAGGACAGTACATTCAATATTTGGGGGTTGGACTCGATGATCTCTGGAGGTCCCTTCCAACCCCTACAATTCTGTGAACATAGATCTGCTCAAACAAATAATAGCAACATACATAATAGACACAGCCTGCACAATAAAAGAAACTAAGACTAGATTGCTGTTGACTGAAGATAGGCATATAGTGCCATTCAGTAGTTGCCTCACTGGCCCTTTCAGAAGGCCACAGATCTCGCATGGCTCGTGCTAGATGTCAGCTCTTGGCAGACAGCCACCAGAGGCATCTGAACTGGCATTGCATGACTGCATTAGACAGCAAGATTTGGTCCTAACTTGTATGAAATTATTAAGGAAGTAACCTAAAATCTAGACTTGAAAGTATTTTCCATTAGTTTACTACAGCAGTTTCTTAAGCAAAAGAACTCTTAAGTCTTCCTAACTCAACAGCAATGCATTCAGAAATTTGCGATGTGTCAACAAAGAATCAGAGAACAAGCAGCAATGTTTGCTACGCAGTGGTTAAAGCTAAGCACCCTCTATTATTCTATTAAGTATTTCTCACCCTGCTTGAACTGTTTTCATAATATCATTCATGAGATAAAAGCTAAAATGACTTCCAAATATATTTAGTTCCATGAAGAAAAAGAATTATGATATAATATCAAGCAATAAAATCAACAAATCAAATGCTGGAAGTGTACTTGTAAATTAAATATGGTCCTTTCAGAACCAACTGGTATTGTGAATAGTGTAAGACATCAGAATTCTATAAACACGCTAAAAACTGAACTCTAAATCCAGAAGTATTGTTTTTATAATGCAGCTATTTTTAATTTGGATTTCATAGCACATTTTCTTTAACAGAGATAAGTATGTAACAACAAAGAACCAAACCATCTGCATGAAACCAATCCTAGACAAAACTTCAGCATGTACATCAGTATTTACTTCTACCTTGCATTTAATTCTACGCATGTTAACAGAACTTTTCTTAAAAAAAATTAAAATTGTATAAGCACCATATGAGAAACTGCTGTACCGAACCTACGAGAACACATCTTCTGGTGGCCTTACAAGAGGGCATGGTTATTGTCTTACTGGCAAAGGAATTCTTGCTGGACTGTGGCATGTATCTAATCACTTAAGAAGTAACAGTACTCTTGGACTTACAACACCCAGATTCTTTCATTATAACTAGAAAAGAGCCATATTTTGAAGCCCTGAAATCCATTCTAATAGAATATACAAAAGTCAGGAAAAACAATTTGCCTGTGCAGAAGAAGCATCCTGAACTGATCGAAGGAGATTAAACTGAAATAAACGTTTGCTCTCCATGGGTAGTTCAGTTAGTTCCATAAACTTAGCAACTTCTTTTACACAGAGGACAGAGCATCTCCCCTTCTTTCCCACTCTCCCTCTCTCAAAAATGCTACAGAAGGCTTCAAATGAAGGCACTTACATTATATTTTCATCTGTTACTCGCTTAAGCAAATGGACTTACAGAGATGACAATGAAAAGAAAGACTTATGAATAAAATAGAAACAAAAGAATGAGGCTAGGAAAGAACCAGAAAATGCAGATAAACTACACTAGCACACAAGCTCTTGGTAATACTTGAAAGAAAAAACTTATCAGACAGAGATGGAACAATCAGAAACAACAGCTGTACTTACTATCCTTTTCTACAGGAAAAAAAAATCATTATAAAAACATAATACACAATTAAGATGTGTTTTATCAACAAATAATTAGTCAAAGAAATAAAAAGGTTCTACCTGTGTCTGAAATGCGATCTTCATTTCTGGATGGACTAATAGTAAAAGGAAGTTTACGTTTCATGGAAGACTTTTCTTTCATCTCCTTCCCCACATCACTCCTATCCACTTTTGGAGATTTGCTGTAGGATGCAATCTTGTCCTTGCTCTAATGTAAATAAAAAGTATACTAAGTAATTTTTGCATATACCAGAATAGTCTCATAATGCATACAGACTGCAAAGAGTGCTATGTAGAAGTGTATGTGTATGCAAGAGTGTGTATTACATAGTAGATCATTTCAAAATGTTTTGAAGTATTTTTACTAAAATAACCAATGACAATTCTTTCTTTTTAAAGTGAGAATCTTCTGTGTTTTATGCATTTCCAGATACATCACTGTAGAACTGCTGTTCATTATTAGAGCCTTGACTAAATGCAAAGGAACAGTACAAATTGGATAAGAGTTTGCTAAGTCTTACAGTCTTTAATGACCACCCCAGTTTGCTTCTCTGACTATAGCACAGTAATCACATTAAAAACACCTTAAAAGCTCACACTTCAATTCAGACTGTGAACTGTAGTACAATAACAAAAACCTCTAAGAGCCTTCCCCTGCCTCCACCCTATCCACAAATTCACCCCTGTACAAAGCTCTCCATTTCAATAAGGATAATAGCGTAGTGTATCAACTTCTGAAACAAAATTTACTAAGATCGTAGAAAACCTATGAGAAAATTATTCAAACTGGTATCACATTCAGAAAAAAACAAGTAAAAGTTATTTGGAATGTTCAGATGCAGAACTCCAGGATTTCAAACTTATAAAGCATACTTTATGAGAAAAATAGGATGGGCACAACAGCAACTTCAAATATTTCATAATTTAGGAGGTTGAACTATGAGGAAAAAAAGCAAGTTAGTGAGACGACTGCTTGGGAGAAACCTCTGCAAAGCCCGAAGTTTTTGCTTACTAATCAAGAGACAACACAGAGACAGCATTTTCTCTCCACCATGTACTAGCTGCATCATCTACTCCATAGCTCGATTAGTCAACAGATGATTGAGTAAATACACTAGTAAATTAATTTTCGAAAGGTGGAAAAGGAACATCCCCTCACTTGACAATCTGAAAAACAAAAGGCTGCTGCTTCTCTGATTAGAGAAAACTAGAAGCAACCCCAGGTAATAGACACTGTGAGTATGTACAAGTAATAAAGCCTACTGAACAGACTAAAGGGCCTTTGAGAATGACAGTAATAACCAGTGGCTGACTTTCCAACCCACACAACTGGGCAAGAGAGAGAAGAAAAGAGAACTAGCAAGTGAATAACAAAACAACTAGCAGATATGAAATGTGGTCTAATTTGAATAACAGTCTAAGCACAAAACAAAAGGAATAGAACTGAAAAAAGGTTACCCAAACTGTTAGAAGTAATTTACTATACAATCACAAGACTGCACATTAAAATTAGCTCTTAACAGCTTCTTGGATTAAACTTCCAGTAAAGGAAGGTGAGAAGATGTAGCAAGTGCTATGGGTTAGAACATGCTGTTCAGCTTAAAGAGTGAGTATTCACTGTTTCACCTACTTCTGGTCCTGTAACAGCACAGACATCTCTTCTGTAGCATTCAAGCAAGGTACAAAATTCAGCCAGAACAAATCTATTAATTAGTTTCAGGTGATCTGTGAAATGAAACTACAACAAAGCTAGTATCTTTTCTACATGTGATTTAGAACATTCGTGGATTTTCTAAGGAAGGTCAGAAAACTACTAACCAAATAAAATACGGAATAAAAACAAAATAATGTTGAGATACATAAACTATTGCTCCAAAAAGAAAGGCATTGTACATTCTCATCTTCGCTACACTTATAGAACATCTAATGGTTTTAGACTGCAACAAGGGACAAGGAAAGGTTATTTATCCTCCCACTTAGCATCTAACTCCACATCAGTCACCATAATTAAGTATTAGAACAAACAGCCCAAGGAGACTGTGAAATTTCCACCAGTTAAAGCTTTACAGAAAAGATCTGGCCAAGGTTTGTCAAGAATCAAGCACAACTTACTCTGCTCTGGGGCAAATGGATGAACTAGAGCTGCACATCTCAACATTTAATGCATGCCTCACTGGAAGGTGTAGCAACAAGAAGAATTTTTGGTGTTAGCAAAACCATCCTAGATGCTATGAAGAGGACATCTGTAATCCGTTTAACAGAAACAGTCTTAGAAGGCTAACAGCAATCAGTACAATCTCTTGATATCCTATTCCAGCTCTATTTTCTGGTACATCTACAATCAATGGCAATACACAAGAGGAGACAACACAGTCCCATATAATCTGTAAACTAGCACATATACTAAGCCTCAGAAGAAAGTGTTTCTTTTCATCTATCAAAGATAATTACATACTGAAACACATTCTGCATGGTATTAAAATGGTTTTGGGAACAAATATTGTTGGAGTCCTCTGAGATGAAATTTGCTTCTTACAGAATGATGTTTTTCTGCTTTGAACCACAGATCTACCATTTACTTCCCGATTTTCATTTAAGTTCTAAAGTCCAAATTCAGATAAATTAAAGTTTCCTTATGTTCTCACCTTTATAAAGTATTTCATGCAAACACTGAGTGGAACGCCTGCTGTACACACTCTAGCCAGCTTTTCATTTAAGCTCCCAAGACAAGCAATCAAAACAGAAATACATGTACCCTGAAGCATATTTGATATAAGCTTCTTTTTTGTTATTGTGGATGCTACTCAATTACTTTTTTAAGCTCTGAAAAGACCTGAAAATATAACTAATTCACATAGCAATGTACTGGTTGTTAGAACAGCATAGTAAGCATAGTATCAACTTTCACTGGACAAGTATTAAAGATTAAGTCTTGTAACAACAGAAACTTCAGTACATTCCTCTGTTCAGGAGCTAAGCTAATTTCATAGCCAATAAAAGCTAAACATTTTATCAGCTGTGAAAGGAAAAACAAATCCTAAAAGCATTTTTCTTTTGTCTTAATATACTAACCACTGGAATACATTTATACCATATCTTTTGGCCATTACTTAGGGAGGTTAGTCACAGCCAGCGTGGGTTGACAAGGGGAAAGTCCTGTTTAACAAATTTAATCTCCTTTCATGACAAGGTTACACACCTAGTTGACTAAGGGAAGCCAGCTGATGTAATTCTTTGGATTTCAACAAACCTTTTAATAGTGCTTCTCACAGTATCTTCCTGAAAAAAAAAAAAAAGCCAGCACACAGCAAGAAAAAAACATAATATAATGGGTGAGCAGTTGGCAAATGGGTCAGATGCAAAAAAATATAGTAAATGAGGTTACATCAGGCTGGTGGGCATCACTAGTGGGGTGCTGCAGGCCTCTATTTTAGAGCCAGTTCTCTTTAATGTTTTCATCAATGACTTGGATGTGGGACTTGAAGATATATCGAGTAAGTATGTGGATGATGCTAAACTGGGAGGAGCTGTTGACTCCCTCAAGGGCAGAGAGACTTTGTAGAGAGATCTTGACAGATGGGAGGAGTGGGCAATCACCAACCACATGAAGCTGAACAAGAGAAATGCCAAATGCTGCACACGGGATGGGGCCACCCCGGATAGATGTACAGCCTGTGGACAAGAGGCAGGAGGGCAGCCCCACAGAAAGGGATCTGGGGTTATGGCTGACAGCAACTCAGACCTGAGCCAGCAGTGTGCCCTGGCTGCCAGAAGGGCCACCCACAGCCTGGGCTGCACCAGGCCCAGCACTGCCACCGGGCAACGGGTTGTGTGCTCTGTGCTGTGCCACCTCACCTCCGGCACTGGCTGCAGGTTTGGCCCCACTGTATAAAAAGGACATCAAACCATTCAAGGGCATCCAGAGGAGGGCTACAGTAACAGTGAAGGGTCTAGAGTGCGCCATGCAAGTTTAGGTCCCTGTGTTTGCTCGGCACAGAGCAGAGGAGCTGAGGGGAGGCCTGATGGCGGCTGCAGCTCCTGACAGGGAGTGGAGGGCAGCGCTGAGCTCTGCTGTGTGTGACAGCGACAGGGCCTGAGGGAACGGCATGGAGCTGTGTGAGGGGAGGGCGGCTGGGGGTGAGGGACAGGGGCTGCAGCACAGGGCGGTGGGCATGGAACGGGCTGCACAGGGCTGTGGGCACGGCCCCGAGTGCTGGAGTTCAAGGGGCATTTGGACAGTGCTCTCAAACACTTTGAATTATGGGTGGGCTGTGTGGAGCCAGGAGTTGGTCTTTGTGGGTCCAACTAAGGGTATTCTACAGTAGTTTTTCAGGGAGCGGGGTCATTTAACATTACATTTCAGAGATAAACTGTTACATGTGAAAATAATTTTATATCAGGACTCCTTTGCCCACAATGCATTTACGAGCATATAGGAGAACATCTGTAATTGAACTACTTATTTTCTGTTCATTTACAGTCACTGAGATTAAGCTCCAGAAGTAGCTCAGAGATATTTCTGCACCAATAACAAACATGTATAATTGGACACAGAAACAAATAAAAAGACATTTAAATGCCAAAGTGCAGAAGTAGCTTGATTGCACTGTTCTATAAAAATTTAAAGAAAAAAGCCAAAGCTACGTGCAAAGTAGTTAGAATGTTTTTGTTTGTTTGTTTGTTTTTCCTTCTTGTATTAAGGACCACTGATCATCTGAATGTTGAAGACGTCAGGGTCCTTTAATGCTAATACTAGACAGTGACATCCCTCACAGCAGTATAAATGGTCATTCATTAGTCACACAGCACTAAGAATACTGGACAGACAAGAAATTGTTCAGATTCATCAAAATACTTCCTTGTGAAAATACTGCACTAAAGCAAAACTTTTGCTTTAGTATTCTTTATACCTGGATCATCATCCCCTCCCTTTCATTAGGTTAACTAACCTGTAACATTTTTATGAAGTTTTTAAAATCAATGTTTTAATCATTAAATTAACAGTCGCAAATATTCACATACTAGGAAAAATCTATTCTACAGAAATTACCACTACTTTCTAAAGATACTTCACTTAAAATTATCACTATAAATTCAGCCTTTGCCACTTTTATGTTTTCATACAATATAGATTTGCCTTCACAATTTTCTCTGGTTGAAGCACAAATTTCAGTGTTATCCTGTTGAATTTCAAATAACATAAAAGGCTGAATCAAAAAAAATCACATTTTAGCAACATTTTGTCTGTTTGTTTCCTAATACAAGTGAAAATCCTCAGATTATTCTAGTGCCAGCTAAATACTTCTGCCAATTGTCTATTCATGTGTTAAATAGCACGTGTGACTGTTAAGTGACTGTTTAATATCTTTGCCATACATTCAATTTTTCTCAAAATAAAGGCGAAGCCACCAAACTCTATTTATTACACTAAAAATGTGGACACAAGGATGTTAAGTGCAACACAGATTTATGTAATTTTACTTAACATCTCACATTTTCCATATTATGTGTTATTTGTAGTAGTATTGTATCATACAATTCCAAGCCAGAGCCTACATTTTGCTCATCTCATGCTACACAGTGTTCCAGGATGGATAATAAGACTGAACGTAAAAATGCAAGCAGTTTACCAGTTTATTTTTTGGTATCAATGTAATTAGTTCATCATTATGTTTCCATAGCCGTATTTTTGGTCAGATTCCCACCTCCTCCTGGTCTTTAACTAGCCAGTGAAGGCAGCATTTCTTTGAAAATTAATCTCAAATACTGAAGAATGTAGAATCTGAACTTAGCACACTTGTGCATATTTCTAACTCATGTACTGTAGTCTTTAATAACACACCTTCCTTTTTTACAAACCTTTCATCAGAACCAAAGTGACAACGAAAGGGGTTTATATGACTACTAAAAATAGAATGTTACTTTATTCCTTTCTAAAACAAATAAAAATTTGCCATATTTTTGCCACCTCTACTACCTGCTGACAAATAAAGGACACCATGTTCATTTTTCTGATCCCCAGAAAAATCATCAACTTCGTGTAAAAGGTCTGTCACTTATGCACAGTTCTCTTTTGCCAGAATGTATCCGTGTTTCAGAAGCTTTGCTACGTTTTACGCAGTTGATGGGATATGGAGGTTAAATGATCCAGCAGATGCGCGCTGCTACTGTTAGTAGCAGAATGGAACAACTTATGGGGATCACAGGCAGGAGATTCCTAGAGAAGAAGGTCTCAAGGCAATCAGCAAATACTGAACTGGGAGCAAGCGTCACTGTTAAGGCAGCTCCTTTGGCAGTGGGTGCAGATTCAATGGCCACTTCAGGACACTGGCATCATTTACCCACTACAGTAACATGCAAGAGGGAGAGGAGGTGAGAGTCAGATATAGAGCACAGAAGAGGAAAAGGAGCCTGAGAAGTAAACTCATTTTGACCAACTGATCTATTTTTAACTTACACTGTAGAGCTGTTTGTATGCAAAATTCAAAGCTGATGAAGAAAAAAATGCAATATGCACAATAAAAATATGAATACATATATTTCTATATATTTTCATAAGCAAATGCATTTCATTTATAAGCAAAAGCTTTTCAAACCATATATTTAGCAAAGAAATACTGAAAAAGGAAATTTAGAAAACCCTCTATTTTTGCTTAGATGAAAGTGAAAAGATGAAAACTCATTTTAATCTGTTATATATTTTTTCTTCCTCTTAAACTCACAAAATTTGAGAGGGAGTTGTTTTTCTAGCAATTGCAGTTGTTACTTGTACCATCAAGATTTTCAAGGGTGTCAGAAGGTTGTTTGCTGTTTTTTTCAGAAATACTTCATTGACAAGATACTATGCCAGAAAATATTTTTATCAGATTGATTATTTAACTAATAAAAACCAAGAGCTTGCCAAAATGCATCTTACTTCCAAGAAAGTAAATAAAAAGACAATACTATCCACTAGATTTGACTGCAGTAGCCTTTCTATTCTTCCCAGTTTTAGGCCCCCAGAATTCCCTTCTTTTTCTAAGTGTTAAATTTCCCAGTATTTCAGTTAACTTGACCATATGCCAAACAGAAACAAGAAGGGAATAAATAAATATTTTTATTCCACCTGTTTAGTAGAAAGCCAATTTCCTTTCTGCATTTTACTCCACAGTCTTCATCTAATTTATTTTATTTTAAAATTTTAACATTTTAATTATTATTAAATTAATTTATTAATTTATTACAGCTAGCAGAAACGTCTGCCTTTGCCTCACTTTACTGGGGCCCATAAAACAAACTGAGAAGAGACTAAAAAGTCTAATGCTCTGTATAAATCTTTTCCCATTTTTTCATCTCCCTATCTTGTATGCACTCATCAAGTGGTCTTGCAGGAAACTTGGACTTCAACATAACAGTAAGTATGAATACAGACACAGTCTCCATTTATAAACATAGCTTTAAACATTGCTTTGGAGAGAAATGGATTGTCTCCACTGGGCAAAACACAACTTAGAATAATGTTTCTTATTGTGAACTGTATCTTTTGTTATACAATAGAGCTAAACTATAGCAGTAACTGAGTTATTTGCAACATGATTCAAGAAGTTACAAAGTGATGGGATACTTTACATTTATGAACAAACTATTTTCACTAGTGTTACTACGTCTCACATATCCTTTCATTTTCCATCACTCAAAACTGGACTGTACAGTTTTAACACAAACTCACTTGCACAGGTGTTACTCTTAACCCTTCCGCAGCATTTGGCTTTCAAATCATTCTAGCAGAGGGAACAAGTTCCTGCCTTACGAAGGAACCTAAGACACTTGTTTGCTCTTTGGTCTGCACTGTCACAACCCTTCAAAAATGTTTCATGTGTTTGTTACAGAGTAAAGCATTGTAAATTTAAATTAGATATGAATCCTTGTTCTTGCAAGTGTATAAAGACTTCATACGATATAAGATATGAAAACCATGCATTAACTTACATTAAAAAAAAATTCAGCTTCCTTTTGAACTAAGTTGCAAGCTGCAACAAAAGACTTATATTCTGTTCCCAAATTTACATGTGAAGGCATGTAAAAAACTGCATTCGATTTTTTTTTCTGTGCATTCAGAATGAGAATATAGATAAGTATTTATTTTTCATGACAGCAGGAAAAGCTGTGATGCAATACATGTTCTTTATTTCACCAAACTTAAACAGACTTGAATATAGTTTTATTACCTTTCTTGCAGTTGGTTTTTCCACCATGGTGCTATCACTGTCAGAATTTTCTATTTGAGCTGTTTTTGCAGATCCAGATTTGGGCATTTTATAGCTGTTTACTAGCTGTATCTTGTATCAGTGGGTTCATCGTGTGTCTGGAAAAAAAAAAAACAAACTACTAAAACCAATTCTATAAATAATTATATAAATTAAAATGTCATACCAGAAAATAATGTTGTTACAGCAAATGGTAGCAGATATATATAAATATATATATATAAATACTGCTCCAAAAAACCAGACTAACAACCATATCTGACTCCAAGTACCCTGTTCAGCAACAGCTCCCACCCTAGAGTGAAAACCAAAACCAGAAACACAGCTACCGGTGGAGACAGTAGCATCAGAAAACCACAAAGTCAGATGCTGAAGTGCCTCATACTTCTAACCTATGTTTCTGACAGACTTAAAGCTTTCAGGTATTTGACCTCTCTTTGCAGTTCAACATGTCACTTTGTTTTATAGGCAATAAGACCAACAGAACACATAAAATCATTTTTGGCCAAACAGTCAACAAAAGCTTATCTTTCTAGTCCAGGAAACTGAAATATTGTCT